GCAGCAGTGTTCCAGGAAGGAGTCCAACTCAGATTGTTCACTGCTCTTTCACTTATCAATAACTTCCAGCAAGGGGTCTTGGGGTCCCCTCAGATATTATATCAAACAAGTGCCATCCTTATTTCACGTGACATAGTATGATGGGTAGCACAAGGAAGAAGCTGCAAGAGCCGGGCACAGTTCCAATAAAGAGGGGCCGACAGGCAGAGCGGTGCTCTGCAGCGCTTGTCAGAGAACTGGAGCAGGCTCCTTTGTGAGCTGGTACATCCCCTCCCGGAGTGCACAGCGGAGATATTTGATGGGCTGAGTGATTGATAAGTGCAGGAAAGGGGCAGTCATCCTTCTCTCCCTCCCTCTTCTCTTCTCTTCTCTTCTCTCTCCTTCCCTCCCTCCTTCCTGCCAGAAGCACTGCTGTGTGGCGAGCTGCTCTAGCAAGCTCGAGCTGCCTGCCCTGGGGTGGGGGTGGGGGGCACCGCCTGCGCTCCTCGCTGCTGTGCCACTGAACAGCCAGCAGGACTGGTACCCAAAGCGGTGCTGGCTCCTGAGCCTCTCAGAGTCGCCTATGCTGCGGAAGCCTCCGGGGAAGATCGAGGCAGCACACTTTGCTCTCCCGGTAAGTTCAGAACACTCGGGAATGCCGTGGCAACGCGACCCATGAACCGGATTCCTTTGGCCTCAAAGTGGGAAGGACCATGGGGTGGGTAGGCTCTACCCACCGTGGTCAGTCCTTGTGGATCTCCCTCTCCCTAGGTACCTTCTTTTCATTGTCCCCTGACCTTCTGCGGGTGTGGTAGGGATCCAGGAGTCTCATAGCCAGGTAACCACCGCTGCTGTCAGGGATGGCCCATGCAAGAGGTTCTGCTCCATTCATTCTTAGTGCCCAAGCCCCATGGCAAGGGCAGAGTGAGTGGCCTTCGCGGCTGGGAGGTCACCCCCTGGCATCAAGCCTCTAGCCACTAGGGTGTAGGAAATGTAGGGCTACTCTAGGGGCTGGTGTTTAGTCCTGTTCCTTGCAAAGGATCTCTCCTGGGTCTCTCCGGAAAAGAGATTAGCATGGGGCAGCCCACGGGCTAGAGAAAAATGCTGCCTGGCCTGCTGGACTTCTAAGCTGGCTCTGGCCATAAGGATTGCACGGATGAAAGTGGCCTATATGTTGCAGCCTGGTCCCTCCGTGACCTGTGGAAAAAGCTTGGGCGACCTGAGCCCCAGCTCTAGCTGGTTAGTGACAAAGGGAGTGGGGGTGAGGCTGTGGAGTATGCATTTCAACTTCTCTCCCCTCAAGGAAGAGAGCAAGCATTTTGCGTATTAAAGCATTTGTCCCTTCTGCTCTTGGTTTTCCCAATTAACCTGAACCTTTTCAGCTCCTTAAAAGGTCACTCTTTTCAGCGGTTCTTAGAGATACATTGGACCAAATGAAACTTACTAAAAAGTGTTCATTGGGTTTGTGGCTCATTCACTTCTAGAAACAATCGTGTTTCTGAAAGTGGCTATGGAAGCTCAGATACAGGGAGAAGATACAGTGGCAGAGTGAATTGATTCTTGCAGACAGGAAACCATGGATTGAAAATCCAGCATCTCAGGGTCCTTGGCGTGGCTCACCACAGCTAGATTACCATTAAATTTCTTTTTATTGTGTAAGTGATAAGAATTTCAAGATTCCCAAATTCCTCTTTTTCCTTCTCCTCTCCTCTCCTCCCCTCCTCTCCCTTTTCCTTTCCTCTCTTATCCTCTCCTGTCCCCTCTACTCCCCTTCTCTCCCATCTTCTCTCTTCTCTCTTCCCCCTCTCTCCTCTTCCCCTCCTTCTCTCCTCTCTCTTTCTCTTTCATGTCTAGAAAAACAATCTTGGTCTCCAAAGAGTCTGGAAAGCATTATCTATGTCTTAATTTTCTTTACTGTACTTGAAAACTAAAACTATTGGCATTAATTTTTGCAGTAAAAAATGCCCCACTAAGTTTAGGTATGCAATTCTCTAATTCATATTAAGCAGTATTGGGCTCTGAAGAACCCATTGTTACTCAGAGGCCCTCAGTTTTGTTTCTAATTTTAGTTTCTTGAACTTAACCAAGTCAGTATGTCACCTGGTTGAGAAATGTCCTGATCTGTAAAATTATTCTGGTTTGTTAGATTTTGTACAGCTGTCACATTAGCTTTTACTTCAGTGAAGTATAAACCAAACTAGCAAATGTTTCTTAAATGAAAGGCTGCGTGAATAAATCATATCTCCCTAGGAACACTGTCCTTTTATTATTTAGAAATACATAGAAAAGTTTCTCTTTCTTATGAAAGGAGCCTAATTTTGCTCACAAGAAATGACTCTGCTTGCATGTAATGATGCACCTGCAATAGAATGGGAGGCTATCTACCACTGCATTCTCCTCTCCCAGGACTGCTAGTCTCATGGCTGCCCTACGGCTCAGGGAAGGACACTTAAGGCCCCAGAGTGAATAGATCTTGCTAAAAGTCGCCAGAGAGGAATGGCAGCACGAAGGGGAATCTTGCCCATGGTCAAAGGCTTTTCTTGAAAGGAGAAAGAGGGAAGAGAAAAAGGCAGACAGATTGAGATTGCGACAGATCACAGTGCCACAGGTGGCCTTATTGCTGAAGTTTATAAATTGCCCCAATCTTTCTGAGGGAGAAAGGAGGGTGTAGAAGCTACATAATCTTAAGACTTCTACTTAAATAGGGAGAGAAAGAGGATAAATGGGAGGGAAATAGAGTAAAATGGTTTATTTTGCCTGTGGCATTGCCCGTCTTTCATTTTGGCTAGGCAATGAGATTATGAGTAAACTTTGCAGCAGATCTGAAGAGGGAGGGACAGAAAGGTGAATTGTTTTGTGGAATAGACACATTTAATCAGTCCCCTTTGTCACTTTTTCTTCCCCCGTTTTTTCGTGACTTCTCTCTTCTTTTCCATCAGAGGTTACCTATAGCTCCTTCAAACAGGCATTATTCACACATGCAAATGGGTTCTCCACTTGAGATTCCTGGATCTTAGCGGTTATAATAAATTAAGAAGTAAAGAGATAATGCAAGTAAAAATTCAACACCTAGCCATTTAGTAATGCTCTAGAAAGTTATTTGATTGTGAATGTAATATCAGGACCCAGAGGACCAACGCTCTACCACCATTAGCAAATGGAAACAGTAAGATCCTAAAAGTACTGACAAGCATGGCCGTGGTATTCTGGTCTCAGCTCATGATTCCTTTTACACTTTTCTTCAGCAGGAGTCAGTTCTCTAGCCCTGCATTCTTTCCTCTTTTTAGGGGGTTGGTGGGTGGGATGGGGGTGGGGCTTCCTGTCTCTGCAGCCTAGAGGGCTCAACAACCCTTGCCTTGTCTCCCACTCCTAGCAGAGTCTCAGCCTGGCAATACTTTTCTGACACCCACTCCACTTTACTTTCCTTTAGGCAAAAAGCACACGTTTAAGCCTCATTATCTGGCTAAGTATAAACCTCAGAGGGGAGAAGCATTTTATTTTTGTTTGGTTCAGTCTACTAGTTAACGTTGAGTTGGCTTTCCAGAGTCCAAGCAAATAACTGTTTGGCTGGTTAGCACTAAGAATGTAATTCCCCAAGCACTGACACAGCGCTCTGTATGTAAAGTATTGATCCCCTAGGAGAATTCTTCTCACTCCCACACAGACACACTAGCACAGGAACACTTCCACTCTGCACCGAAAGCATCTCAGCTAGCAGTCTGTCTAGCTGGCATCAGTCCAGTAGCAAGAAGTACCACACACATACACACATATATGTTCTGGCCGAGTCTGCATCATGCCCTGGGAATCTGGCATGAGATCAGTTTTACCGAACAAGTCACTGTCCTTAAGCAATGTGTAGGTGAAAGAAATCACTCTGGCTAGTTCGGATTAGGGGTGTTTCAGTGAGGCCAGCACTAAAAGGGAGCTGGGCCGCCTGCTTGAGAAACAAACTCCTGTTCCGAAGGAGCTTCTCTTGCCAACAGCCCGGCTGGAAATAGAGTAATTCTGAAACAACTGACGCAGCTGGGAATTGAGCTGTGCAAAGCCACTCACAGGGAAGGGAAGCGTCTGCCCCCCCCCCCCCCACCAAGTGCCCTGGATATTCTGCCCACACTCCTCTCCCCCGTGACGTCACCCCTAGTCCTGTCCTGGGAGCCTGCAAAACCTCTCAAATTCAAACTGCTAGACTCACTGCTGCTGCTGCCACCGGACTGAAAGCGCGCGCCCGCCCAGGCTCCGCTGTGGCAATCCCGATACAGTCTGCAAGACCTCCCTATGAAATCACACCCCCGGTTCCCTGCAGCGCAGCTCCCTTCTGCTCCAATCCTCCTCTTCCTCTCTGTCTGTCAGCGGGATTTTAAATTCCTGCGCACCCCCCTCCCTAATCAAATTAAATCAAGCAACAAAAAACAGAGCATCCTCCTGCAAGCGGGATCTTCTTTTACTTTGCTCTCCCTCTCTTCCCGAAGATGCTAAACTACTGGTGAACTGAAGAGGAGGGGAATCCTATCTTCTGCTGTGTGAGTACCCCCAACCCAGAGCTGTCTTTGCCGTCCTATTCTGTTCCCTTCGTCAGCCCCTGACTCATAATTTTCCCACCCACTCCCATTTTTTAATGCAGTTTTTAAAAAGTAAAGCAATTTCCACTGCAAGCCCAAGACGGGCGATCCGCCTGAGATTTCTTCAAAATACCCCAGGGGAAGAGGAGATGGGCCGGATTTAGTAGGACGACTGGATTACTAATGACTCCGTGGTTGGCTGTGACCCGCCGGGAAATCAGGTGCAAGCATGTGTGTTCCAGAACGTTTTGTGTGGGTGGGCTTGGGAAATGGGTAGCGAAAAAGAGAAGAAACTGCTTTGAAATACGCAATGATTTCTTTCTTCCTTGCTGCCTACCCCCTCACTCTACCCCTGCCCCCACCCCCACCCCCGCCTCCTAGCTTTGCCATTTTAATCGGGCTTCCTTGTCTCTTTTTCCCCCCGGATCCCGCTTTCTCCCTGTTCCTCACCCAAGGTTTGCCTGTAGGTACCTGAGCTAACATCGAAGGTGCCTAAAGATGCTGAGCTGCATTTGGTTCCTCAGTGTATTAACCGTGGCCGGGATCTTACAGACGGAGAGCCGCAAAACTGCCAAAGACATTTGCAAGATCCGCTGCCTGTGTGAAGAGAAGGAAAACGTACTGAACATTAACTGTGAAAACAAAGGATTTACAACTGTCAGCTTGCTCCAACCCCCTCAGTATCGCATCTATCAGTTGTTTCTCAATGGAAACCTTTTGACCAGACTGTATCCTAACGAATTTGTCAATTACTCTAATGCAGTGACTCTTCATCTAGGTAACAATGGGTTGCAGGAGATCCGACCTGGGGCATTTAGTGGTCTGAAGACTCTCAAGAGACTGCACCTCAATAACAACAAATTGGAGGTATTGAGAGAGGACACTTTTCTAGGCCTAGAGAGCCTGGAGTACCTCCAAGCTGACTACAATTACATCAGCACCATTGAGGCAGGGGCATTCAGCAAACTGAATAAGCTCAAAGTACTCATCTTGAATGACAACCTTTTGCTGTCTCTGCCTAGTAATGTGTTTCGGTTTGTCCTGCTAACTCACTTAGACCTGAGGGGAAACAGGTTGAAGGTAATGCCTTTTGCTGGTGTCCTTGAACATATTGGAGGAATCATGGAAATTCAGCTGGAAGAAAATCCATGGAATTGCACCTGTGACCTACTTCCTCTCAAGGCATGGCTGGACACCATTAGTGTTTTTGTGGGGGAGATTGTCTGTGAAACTCCTTTCAGGTTACATGGGAAAGATGTGACCCAACTGACCAGACAAGACCTCTGTCCCAGAAAAAGTGCAAGCGGTGATTCTAGTCAGAGGAGCAGTCATTCAGACACCCAGGTCCAAAGGCTGTCCCCTACAATGAATCCTGCTCTCAGCCCAACCAGGGCCCCAAAAGCAAGCCGGCCACCCAAAATGAGAAATCGTCCAACTCCACGAGTGACTGTGTCAAAAGACCGGCAGAGTTTTGGTCCTATCATGGTGTACCAGACCAAGTCCCCTGTGGCCCTCACCTGTCCGAGCAGCTGTGTCTGTACATCTCAGAGCTCAGACAATGGTCTAAATGTTAACTGCCAAGAAAGGAAGTTCACTAACATCTCTGACCTGCAGCCCAGACCTACTAGTCCAAAGAAACTCTACCTAACCGGGAACTATCTCCAAACAGTATATAAGAATGACCTCTTAGAGTACAGTTCACTGGATTTGTTGCATTTAGGAAACAACAGAATTGCAGTCATTCAGGAAGGTGCCTTTACAAACCTGACCAGTTTACGCAGACTTTATCTAAATGGCAATTACCTTGAAGTGCTGTATCCTTCTATGTTTGATGGACTGCAGAGCTTGCAGTATCTCTATTTAGAGTATAATGTCATTAAGGAGATTAAGCCGCTGACCTTTGATGCTTTGATTAACCTTCAGCTCCTATTTCTGAATAACAATCTGCTTCGGTCCTTACCTGATAATATCTTTGGGGGCACAGCCCTCACCAGGCTGAATCTGAGAAACAATCACTTTTCACACCTGCCTGTTAAAGGGGTTCTGGACCAGCTCCCTGCTTTTATCCAGATAGATCTGCAAGAGAACCCATGGGACTGCACCTGTGACATCATGGGGCTAAAGGACTGGACCGAACATGCCAATTCTCCTGTCATCATCAATGAGGTGACTTGTGAATCTCCCGCTAAGCATGCAGGGGAGATACTGAAATTTCTGGGAAGGGAGGCTATTTGTCCAGATAATCCTAACTTGTCAGATGGGACCATTTTATCAATGAATCACAACACAGACACACCTAGATCACTTAGTGTGTCTCCTAGTTCTTACCCTGAACTACACACTGAAGTTCCACTTTCTGTCTTAATTTTAGGATTGCTTGTTGTTTTTATCCTGTCTGTCTGTTTTGGGGCGGGCTTGTTCGTCTTTGTTCTAAAACGTCGAAAGGGAGTGCCAACTGTTTCCAGGAATGCCAACAACTTAGATGTAAATTCCTTCCAGTTACAATATGGGTCTTACAACACCGAAACAAATGATAAAGCTGATGGTCATGTCTATAACTACATCCCCCCACCTGTGGGTCAGATGTGCCAAAACCCCATCTACATGCAAAAGGAAGGAGACCCTGTAGCCTATTACAGAAACCTGCAGGACTTCAGCTATGGCAACCTGGAGGAGAAAAAAGAAGAGCCAGCCACACTTGCTTACACAATAAGTGCCACTGAGTTGCTAGAAAAGCAGGGCACACCAAGAGAGCCTGAGCTGCTGTATCAGAATATAGCTGAGCGAGTTAAGGAACTTCCCAGTGCAGGCCTAGTCCACTATAACTTTTGTACCTTACCTAAAAGGCAGTTTGCCCCTTCATATGAATCTCGACGCCAAAACCAAGACAGAATCAATAAAACCGTTTTATATGGGACTCCCAGAAAATGCTTTGTGGGGCAGTCAAAGCCAGACCACCCTTTACTGCAAGCTAAGCCGCAATCAGAACCAGACTACCTCGAAGTTCTGGAAAAACAAACTGCAATCAGTCAGCTGTGAAGGGAAATCATTTACAACCCTATAGCATCAAAGGATGCGCTTCAAACTGTTGGAAGCACTGCATTTGCTTTTGTTGTGTTCTCCCTTCCCCAGTGCTAATAGGAGACTGAAAGCAGTTTGGAAGAGGGGTGAAGCAATGATACTGCTCTTGCAAGCTTTTCTTTAAATTATTTTTCTCTTATCTCCCACCTCCACACCTCCCCCTTCTTAGGAACCATTAGTGAACATGAATGTTTCTACACTGCATTTTTTCATAGATATTATTTAGGTTTTGTTTCTGTTTTCTTTCTTTTCCTTTTCCCAGTGTGGGAATGGAAAGAAATAATAGTGATTAAAGGAATCGTAGGTAAAGTTTTCAAATGAGAATATTTTGTAGAAGATCTCCAAAGGTCTTTTGGAACTACAACTTCTTTTGTAAATAACGATCTATGGTATTGCCATCTTCAGTTACCAAGAATAGGCCTGGGCTTAGCTACTTTGTGTTAAAGTGCCTTTGCACTGAAGTATATTACTTAAACGTTGCTTTTAGCTCTGAAAATGAAAAGTATTTTAATGTGTTGTATTTTTAAACTCGAAATCAATGTAAGATAGATCTAGATCTATATGTCAGCTATATTATGTCAACATACAGTTTGCTTGAGTTCTAGAAACCAGCCTGTCATCAAACAATTCTAGCTTAGGACTTTATAGACTTAAATGTAAAATATTTCCTTTCTTCTGGGTTTGTTACAAGTGATTTTATTTAAGTCAAGAAATGGGATTTAACAGAGGACTCAAGGTAATAAGTCACCTCTGTCAGGATTAGCAATTCATTAATAAAATATATTTAACCCAATATCAGAGTGAATTGAACAATTAATGCCCTCCCATAAATCATTATTGTACACTAACATGATCAGTGTTTTAGATTATTTTCCTAGTTAATAGTATATTACACAACTGGTAGTATATTTTTTCTGCATCAAATTAGATATTTTTATATATTTAAATGAAAATCTGTATTTCTAACTTTTTAATTGAAATTAATATTTTTCTGCCCATTGCAACATTTTCTATATACACATACCAGTAGAGGCCGCCACACACCTCATTTAACCAAGACACAAGAGCCATTTAATACATTGAAGGAAGACTTCAAAGGTTAGATGAAAACTTCCCACATAATTTCTCTGCAAATTCAAGACAGCAGAGATAAAATTGCATATGTTACATTTTATTTCTTTGAAGATCAAAAATTAGACTCAAAATTCCTTTCAATTTTCACATTTTCTGACAAAGGTAGATTTTCCTCTTGACTTTAATTGAAGTGTTAATGAGGTGCTATCAAATCTTGTCCTATTTGCATCTCCAAATTCACTAATAGTTACCTAAACTACAGCAGTAGGCGTCTTTTTCCTCCCTTCTGCCTTCTTTGGGTATGCTTTACTTGAAAATTTTTAGTTTGAGCAAGCCTTTAATTTTGGTCTTAGCAGTCAATTATTTTAACTAACCAATTCTATATAACATTTATGAAGCCTTATTAGACTGTAAATAATTTTTAGATGCAAACATTATTGTATGATTTAAACAAACAGCCTTTCTTTACAACAAAAAATAGTTTTGTTTTGTCTATTGTAAATCCTTATGCAACTGGGATGGTGATCCGCATATAAAGTAGTCCAGCTTTTCAATTCCTTATTAAAGCAAGTGATGGCGTCTGAAAGAAGCACACTGTTTCCTTTTCATAAATAGGTTACTGCACATAATAATCCTTTATTATCATGTGGAGATTGAAGTGGATCCTGATAACTTACTTTTAAAGCTTTAAAATGACAAATAGTGCATTACCACTATTAACAATTCATGCTACAGGCTTTCAATTAGAAATTACTTAAATCCAAATCATTTGGATTAATAATTAATGGTGCAAAATGGACTTTTTAAACAATGGAAGATAATTGTGTCCATATATAAAAGTAAAGGATACTGTGGAAAACAAGGTTTTAGCAAATTGAAATCCCTGAATATCTACAGTGACTGACTTATATGTTCACTATTTACTTAAAAGTCAATATTGCCATTTACATCCATTAACTCACTATTGAAAATGGAGGTCAAAGTGATTTACACATGTGTTAATACAGAAATTTTAAATTTCCTACAAAAGGAGCTAGAGTACTGATTTGTTGGACATGGAGATAACTCCTGGAAATCTCCTCATCTTTGAGTGACATATATAATATCGGAGGCTTAAAATTTGCTTTTATTTGGTATAATGCTCAGTGCCTAATACAGAGGCAGATATTTGGGGAAGTCATGAAGGCAAATCAGCATACATCATATTAAAGATAGTTTCGAGCTTTAACTGTGACAATATGTTAATGACATGATTCTACTTCAGTGTTTGTTCTTATTTTCCTGAAAGTAAAACATCCATGTTAATAACAAAATTAGTTCATTAATCTTAATGAAATATACTTTACTTCTCATTCATTTTCATGATTTTTAAAGAGGCCTCCTGGAAGAACTCAAATCCATAATCTCTTTAGCTCATTAAACTAGTATTTGCTTCAATATTTTCATTCTTCTAGATTTTTTTCTTTATTTACATTGAGTTTTATAATCAAGTCTTTCAGGTATGATCCAAATGGTTTCATTTAAAAATATAATAACACATTTTGTGTTTTAATCTTTATTATCAAATGCAAGCATAAGCCCTTCAAGTTTAATTGATTTATTGGCATTTCCACTGGTTATATTCTGATTTTCCTTACAGTATTAAGCATTTCAAACCTATTTTATGTTAGGATTTTTATTTTTAACTTCTCCAGCTGGATTTTTAAAAAAAATTTCCCTTACTGTTTCCAGGCAGATTATAATGAGTATGAGCCTAGCAAAAATGATTCCAGACAAGGTAGTGACATTGCTACGATCTGCTTGGAATACAAATAGATGTCTGGCCCTACAAATGTCAAATAGCAATTACTCTAGATTTTAGTACTTAATTAGTTGCTTTCATGACTTCTGCATATACCACCAGTGAGTAAATTGTACGAAAGTCTCGAAAATACTATTCCTCAGCCTTGACACCATTGCCAAGAGTGTTTGGTATGGACTTAGGCCAACCTGTGTGCCTTCTTTCCTCAGGCATTTGGTGAGTAAGAAAAAGACTCTTCAATATCCTCTTTGTCCTCTGACTTATAAGGTGACTTAATTTTTCTAAATAATTCCGTATCATAAAGGGCTCAATATTTTACAGATTTTTAAAATATACATAATAAATCAGAGGGAGATTCTGCCATTTCTCAAACCCTGAAAATCCTTTTATGATATTACACATTCCAGACGCATACTAGATTGAATGCTAGAGTGAACCACGCCTTCCAGATGGTTCTCTTACTCAATTTGTTTATTCATTCATTCATTCATTCATTCATTCAGGCACTCATTCAATACATCTGGAGTGTTTTCTTCCCTGATGCCTGGATCTGCTGTGTGCTGAGGAGCCACAAATATATATTAGACAGGCTCTCTAAATGCCTCACGCCAAGCTTTCACCCCTGCTCCCACTGTTACTAAATCCCTTTCTCCCCACAGATCTCCCAAAGTTGTCAAAGAGCTTAGTACACAATAAAAGAGAGTTTTATCTTAATGAAAATCACCCCCAGGTAAGTAGTGGGGACAGCAATAGAATGCAGAAGGTTTAATTTTTAAATTCTCTGGAATAAAATATCAAATAGATAAATCATAAGTAGACTGGTTACAATGTAAGTGCTATTAACACATTTTTGGAATTATGTACTTAAAAGGAGAAAGATACCACTAAAATAAAATAAATTACAGCAGATTGAGAGAGACCCAACGTTATGGCCTGATGATAGCTATATATTTGCGCTATCTACATCTACTTTGTAAAGTTGAATACCAAAATTGTAAATATAAAAATAGCTGATGTACTTCAACTTTATGGAATATTCATGTTTTAGAGACAATGTTTACTTTCTATCTTAGTGGCTTAAAGGGTAATCTTTCAACTCACATGCCTTTTAGCAACACAATAAGAGACTTAATTATGTAAGAGAGATTGAAGTACTTTGTGAGGGTCTACTTTGCTCCTCAAAACAGTGGTGGGAAAAGTAGTGTAAATTGAAGTTTTATAAATCAAATTGTATTTTAAGTGCATTAAGGGAGCTGCCATTTAAATAAAACTTGGGAATCCCTTTATGAGGCAGAAAATCATTTTATATTGCAAACAACCACTCTGTTTTGTATGTTTGGATTTTCAATATCAATTTTGCTTAAAACCAAGCTCACATGCATAATAAGAGTATGTTTTGTCAGTGTTGCTTGTGCTGTCTTATTTTTTTTGGTTGCTAAGGGCTTATACTTGAAAGTGTTGCAGTTTAATGTGAATTGAGCTATCTACACTTTTATGATGGCACAATAGCATTCCTGAACGTCTGGAGTAGCAAGACTATTTCAATTCAATTGAACACAGGACTCTTGCTCAGCAGCAACTTCCCTCCCAAAACCTTGTTTCCGTAGAGGGTAGCCTGACTCCTGTATTCATGTCTTATGAAGTGCTTAGAGACACAGGTTTTATATAAAAAAAAAATGTTACTATGTAAACATACTGAATTGCATGTGTGTTGGAATTTCTAGCAGTATTTTAGCTTGACAGTATATGTACAAATTCTGTTAGACTTAGTTGCAAATAATTGTCTTCATGTTATTGGAATAAATGGCAAATGAAACAATTTATTATGTAAATAGATTCTTGTGCCAAATAGTGACAATGTTTAAGAAAACAAATGACATATTTTGGACTGTCAAGAGGCAAAATGAATTACTGAAAATGTGATCAAATGATATTGTATTTTATTGGATAAACTGTTCAGTTATTTTATGCTGTAGTTAGCTTTCAGTTAATAAATAAATATTCACTAAAACGCACATTTTGGATTAGTTAGAAAAGTTTTTGGAGCTTTCTTCTTTCTCTCTTTCTCTCTTTCTTTCTTTCTTTCTTTCTTTCTTTCTTTCTTTCTTTCTTTCTTTTTTTTGAGACAGGGTCCTGGTTGTACTGGAACTTGCTATATAGACCTGATTGGGCTCAAATTCAGAGATTTGTCTGCCTATTCCTCCTGTGTGCTGGAAGTAAAAGCCTGCACAATGATGCCCAGCCATAGTTTTGGGAATCTTGAGAAGAATTAATGAAAAATGTGAGAGCTGTCCTTTTTGCCTTGGTATATGCTGTTCTAGTGTTGCAAAATGAACATTTTTATTCTTTAAATGATATGTTTTTCATGTTTGTATAAAAATAAGCTTTAAAAATATTAATATTTCTCCATGAGTATTTATTAGTATTATACTTGAAAATTAAAAGCAAACAATATAACCAAAGCAATTCAGATACATGTCTTTCTAGGAACTAAAACAATATTAAGTGACTTTCCAGTCCCCATGCCACACACACACACTTCTACATTGAATTCATTTTTCACCATATTTTTTCTGATATCGTGAATGCTCTAACAAATTCATATTTTACAAAGTAAAAGAATGACTGACATACAAATCAAAATGCTATTAATTGTGTTCCTTAACATGAAGTGAAGAGAAATGAGAAGAGAGATAGTAATTTGTTCCTGTGATGATGGTGATGTTTTGAAACTGACTACCTTGCTTACTTGTGTTTGGCTAAAGAATCAAAGCATATCTTCCAATATATACTCCAGTATCAACTGTGTTTTGGGACATTTTGATCATGACAGAATATTGACAAAAACTAGTATTCTAAGGTATTGTCTAGTTCACAAATTGACTACCAGACAGCATTATGGATTCTTAATGAATTCTCTCAGAAGTAAAGCCTCTTTTCCTTCCCTATTGTTATCACTTGATGATGAAAATGCTTTAGAGAATGGATAGGTGAATGGTTGATATG